GTAGGTTAAATAGGACATATTATCCCCCCTTTTCCACCTTTTCAAACAGTCCCCCTGTGGTCTAAATGAAACACCTGTGCTGTGCTTTGGTCAAAATATAACATGAATCAAGCACCAGAGGAGGTTTTTGACCCTGTATAAACCAGCTCTCTCAGAACTTGGCGTGTGTGTCTCTGTAAATGCAATGAGCCCCCCCTGAGTTTTCCCCGTAGACATCACTCCTTCGCTAGCGAGAATAAAAATGACGGACCTGTGAAATAGTTTTGTTCTAGGCTGGGGGTGGAGTCCATGGGTGGAGATACCAAGGGAGGGGAGGGTATTTTTTTTTTACCAGAATCCCACTGTGATGTCACAAGGAGAGCACATTTGAAACGGAGCATTTTTCTCTGTGTTGTAAGACTTATGCAGACCACAAACAAAGGACTGGATGGGTTTATTTCACATTTTGTTGGTCGGAATACACTCAGGTTACCCAAATATATGTTCAACAACACAGTAAAAGTGGATTATTCAGAATATGTCCCCTTTAATTGGGCCTTGATTTGCCTTGTGTGCCGTAATGTGAAGCAGAAAAATTGTTATGTGGATTTAAACCTGATGTAATGAAGATGAACAAGTAAGAATCTGTATGTATGAAGTGAGCGAGGGTTCAGTCCACCGATCCAGAAGGTTGACCTTTGACTTCTTCCCAAAGGAGCCTCCATGTGCGTACTCATTCTTACTTATTGGAGCATGCTCATCAGAGTCCCTCTTCACCTGTGAGCATGCTCAGATGAGGCTTTTCTTTTAGCTTCCTGATAAAAAAAAAAAGTGTGTTTATGATGCTCAGAAAAGTTTAGTCCAAGCTCTGCAGCTCATTTTCTAATAATTGTGTGTGACAGTCTGTGTCATGTGACATATAGTGAAGTTTACATTTCCCATGGCACCCCATGTCTGGTGTGTGTATTTCCATGATGCAACACCAGGTACCTGAGACCCCCCTAACAGGACTGATCAGAGCTCAGTGAGACTCTGCTGCTTCCTTGAATTTTTCTGGAAACGTCATCAAAGAATTTGTAAAGTCCACAAACACTGTGTGCCGTCGGCCTTTTATTGTCTTCTGATTTCTTTTGTAGTCTTCTAGTAAATGCCGAGGCTGCCGAGAAACAGAGACCTGAATCTGCAACGTCACAGTTACTGGAAAACCGGAGGAAACATCTGAACACAACGTGCGAAACAATATTAAATTCAGTACATTCGGAAACAAGCAGGAACAATCGTACCATGCACCCTGTCTCTCTTTTTAATTAGAGAAAACCATTTAAAACATTTTCATTTTATATTATATTTTACAAAACTTTTTTTTTGTTTCATGCATGTTATTATTCTCCAAAGCTCCCTGCAAGAACAGATGGGTGACGTAACTCACTCCTCATTTCCACACTCTGTGCGCGCCGCGGTCCGTCAGCGCCCGGCCCGGCTTTGCTGCGTCGGACCTCACACGCCCCTGACCCACTGGCTCTGTTTCTGGAGCGTGAGCGCAGCCATGAGCAGCTGCACACACACCACAGGAGAACTACAAGATCACGCGGGAATAAAGAGAAAAACCTGCAAACAACATGTTGCTTTGTCTTTCTGAGGATGATTTATTACTCATTCAGTGCCTGTTTTGACATCTTGTTTATGAAGTGAAGAAAAATACAATTGTCTGTATGTTGTGTTTTATTTTGAAATTGACCGGACGCTCTGTGCGTTTCCTTGTCTCACTTCCTGTCCGGGTCGTTCTATTCTGTCCAGCTTGATGCATGCTTTCAGCGTACGCCGTTGAAAATAGATTCGCCGTGTATTCAGAGGCGCTGTTTGTCAACAGGCAACTGGGGCCCCAGGCCAGTAAGGGGCCCCCAAGGGCTGACAAACTTTAAACCACATAAGTGGTTCAAAATGTGCAAATTTTGCAATGACAGTGGGATACCTCCTTAAAGGGGGCCCCACCTGACAGCACTCCCTCTCCTTTGAATACAAACATTTGTCAATAAAGGTCACCAAACGAAAATGGAGGGGAATTATCCATCTGGGAGTAAAAAGAAAGAAAGAGCAGAAGCGTCAGGACACTGGCAGACATAATGGTGATGAATGCGGGTTGGAGGGGCCCCCGATGAATATTTGCCTAGGGCCCCAACAGACTCTAGAATCGCCACTGAATGTATTTGAAACAGAGCAGTGCGTAGTGCCGCTGCTGGCACGCTCCGAAGACAAACCGCGGCGCTCGCTGTGGAAACACAATCATTTACTAGAGTTTCAGCAAACTGCGTGTTAGTGCGCGGCGCTGCTGATGGACATAAAGCATAACACACTTTGATGTGCAGGTCTTTGCACTGTGTTACACCCTGCTACATCATAGAGAAAGATAACATAGACTAACGTCTTCCAGCCAACATCAGACGGCTTTCCTGCACAGACTAAATGCTTATATGATAAAGAGGGTTTCCTGTCATGGAAAAATCAATTATTTACATACGTGACAAAGTTCATCTTCTTGGAAATGTGACAAACAATCTCATCTCAAAGTCCACTTACTACCTTTTGTTTTTCAATCAGCTACAGGAGCTCTGGGTCCTTTTTTTCTCTCAGAGTTCTCATGAGTTAGTTTATGTTTCACTTTAACTCTGAGTCTGTTGTTATGGAAACACTCTGTGAGCCTCACCTGCAACTGGTTTTAATGGTTCTGATGTTCCTCATAGTTGTGACGCTTGTTATGATCCTGTTACTTTTGCCCGTCTTTGTCGTTATGTTTTCATGTCTTGTGTTGGTCACTTTGAATCACCTGATTGCTGCCTTGCCTTGATACTTCTAATGTTTCTCCTCGAGTTCCTCCTGCTTCTAACGGCGTTCACACATGCACTCCTGAACATGTCTACAGAGTTTTTTGGACAGGCTGCCCATGGAATCTTCCAGAGTTATACTGATGAAGACATTTACAAAGATTTCAAACTCATGGATAAATTCTGAATAAAATCCTGAGAGTCTTGCGAGTTTACTGACATAGTTTCTTCTTTTCTAGATCCTCGCTTGTGTTTACTCTCTAATGTAAGTCACTATGGATAAAAGCGTGAAGTCTTCTTTTTTGTATTTTTGCAAAGTCTTCTATAGGGTGAAGAAGGCACAAGTTGCTCACATAGAGTATGACCCTCATGGATGAAGCCAAAATGGCTGGAAGAAGCAACAGAGTCCGATGCTGTAATGATAGTTTTTTGCCTTCATATCATAGCTATGTGTAATAAGACGTTTTCACAGTATAAACCAATGAGTGGGGAAAAAGTATATAGCTTCACTACCTGCAAAACTTCATCACCCCTGATAACTCACATGCTGTGAATTGTCCTGATAATTTCCTGCTGCGTTCACCCGTCGGCTCTTGCCAACTTCCTGTTCATGAGGCAGCAGAGGGGAAGAAACTGTTGTTGTGGCGAGAGGTTTTGGTGTTGATGGACCGCAGCCTCTTACCAGAGGGGAGGGTCTCGAACAGTCCATGTGCAGGGTGAGAGGGGTCGGCCACAATCTTACCTGCACGCCTCAGGGTCCTGGAGGTGTACAGGTCGTGTAGAGATGGCAGGTTGCAGCCAATCACCTTCTCTGCAGGGCGGATGATGCACTGCAGCGTACCTGACTGTGATGGAGGAGGAGAGGATGGACTCGGTGATGTCAGTGTAGAAGTGACCCATCGTGGTCTTTGGCAGGTTGAACTTCTTCAGCTGCCGCAGGAAGTACATCCTCTGCTGTCCTATCTTGATGAGGTCCTGGGTGATTACAAACACAAAGCAGTTTAAAACCTGACGATCTCTACCAATGGAAGCGGTCGTTTAATTCACCGATTGGTGGTTTATTCTTCTTCTTATCGTGCTTTGACTTCACTTGATTGATGGTGTGATTTTCCCCAAGCATGGCAGACAAGCGGCTTTCTAAATCTCGCTCTACAGCTGCTGACGATTCATTTTTCAGAGTACCGATGTGAATCTTGACACCTTTGAATCAGTTTATCACTATTTTACGATTTTACATCCTTAATTACTTATTTTACTTACTTAATTTCTACATAAAAAAGGTTAACAATAATTTAAACAGTTACAGATGGTATAGTCTGTTTTTTTTTGTCTTAATCTTACTGATGGGTTACTTAATTTAATTTTACATACTTTATTAATCCCAGATCCCAGAGGGGAAATTCTGGTTTACACTCATTAATGAATTACACACATGCACAAACAGGACCTGAGGCAGTGCTAGGTAAGTGATCTGGCACCTCTCCAGCCTCCATATTTTGGTCCGCACCGGGACTTGAACCGGCGACCCTCCGGTTCCTAACCGAGGTCCCTACAGACTGAGATACTGTCGCCTCCTCTTGTTTTTACTAAGAGCTATTCACAAGTGTTTTAAAGTTCCCTAACTTTACTTTAATGGTTTTCATGTTTCCTTTTTTCTCTGGGTTTACTTCGTCTAATTTTCCTGAATTTTATGTTGGCTTTCTGTTTTTCTGATGTTGTCAATGTTCCTCACAGTGTTTGTGTGTTTGGATGTTTCTGACCTCTCCGACTTATTGAGAATTTAAAAACCGAAACATGTGAGAGAAAAAAAGTTGTGAAGATTCAAAGTTCTCGACTCTGTGACAGAGCTAGATTAATTTATCCTGCAATTAATTAATCATCCAATAATCAATTAATAATAATAATAATCAATACCAAAGTCTGTGTGTGTGTGTGTGTGTGTGTTTGAGTGTGTGTGTGTTTACATGTGTGCGTGTGTGTGTGTGTGTGGGTGCGTGTGTGCATGTGTTTGTGTGTGTGCACATGTGTTTGTGTGTGTGTGCATGTGATTGTGTGTGTGTTTGTGTGTGTGTGCATTTGATTGTGTGTGTTTGTGTGTGTGTGTGTGCATGTGTGTGTGTGTGTGTGTGTGGGCTGCAGATTAGATGCAGGGCTGCAGCCTGTAGTCCCTCCTCCCCCTGCAGCTCTCCTCTATATATACACTGAGCGAGCCGGAGAGAGAGAGGCAGGGGACGAGCTCTGCACCGGCTCCACCGACACACTCAAAGTGTGAGAGGGAGAGAGAGACTGTGTGTGTGTGTGTGTGTGTGTGCAGCATAGAGCGAGAGAGGCAGAGAGACACACACACTGACTGAGGGGACAGAAGAGATACAAACGTTTGAGCAGATTATTCCTCTTTTGGAATAAGTTTTGTTTTCATCTGAAGAAAAGGACAGTAAGAGAGAATATTTGACAGACAGGTGAATCAGACAGACAGGTAAAACCAGGTGACCCTCCTCTAGACTCTCCTCTAATGATGGACGACTACAATCTCCCCTTCTGGATCTACACCGGGGTCCTGACTGTGTTCATCTGTGGGGCCATGAAGAAGATTTTGGCGTCCCACCTGAGCACCACCCCCACCCTGGTGGCCTGGCTGGGGGCCACCGTGCTGGTGGAACGTTTGTGGGCATTCTGCCTTCCGGCCGTGCTGCTGCTGGCGCTGCTCGTCCTCGCCTGCTGCATTTACTTTGCCACCAGGACCGGCTCTCCGCCCGCCACACTACCAGCCCACGGCAAAGCTGTACTCATCACAGGTAAGAGGAGGCTCCTCCCACTCCGTCAGGTGCATGTCTTTGCTCTTTTATTGTAAGTTAAAGGGTTGTCTTTTACAACTTTCAAGGGGAAGTCAAATGGTGCTTTTTATTAGTTACAGGCTGCAAAACATGCACTCTTTCTCAGAAAAACAGCCTCTGTTGAGCTCCATATTTCATGCATTTGAAAACTGATTTCATGTTCCTGCAGAGGATTAAACTAAGTGTGACACCTGAATTAGAATTGAGTGCGTATTTTGAAGAGAAAAAACGGTTGAATCAGCAAATTTCCTGAAAACTGAATCATCAAAAAAGCTTCTGAGACTGAAACTCATTTTAAAAATCTATCTCCAAACCCTTCAAACCTCTTACTCAGTCCTAACCTCAACTTTCAACTTTGATAACTTTGGATTGAATGCAACAAAGATCCAAAAGATTCCAAAAACTTTCTGGGGAAATGTTTATGAACTTAGAAGTATAGACAGAAAGGTTGTGCAAGTGAAGCTGCAGGCATCACAGTTAATGTTCAGTCAGCTCTGTGTGTGTGTATGTGCGTGTGTGTGCGCGCGCGCGTGTGTGTGTGTGTGTGTGAATAGAGCAGGCTGTAAGAGGTTAAAAGGAGTTTTTGATAATCTTTTGTGCGAGTGTAAATGATCAGTCGAGGTCACATTGTAAAGAACACTTAAAAAAAAACCACTTTGTGTTGCTGAGATCAGATCAGCGAGGTGATCTGATCCCCCTGAGTCTCTGTGTGTGTGTGTGTGTGTGTGTGTGTGTGTGTGTGTGTGTGTGTTTGGGAGGTGGGTAAACTTCATGAACAATAACTGTCCGGGTGGGGGGGGGGGGGGGGGGGGATTCCCCTTCATTATAAAAAGTCAATGAGTGTGACATCAGAAGCAACAGGTCTGTGGGTTCACCGGCTATTGTTGAGTGTTTTTGTCCCAATTTCCGCTATCAGAGAGCCGAGGAAGTGAGCCTGATAAGAGGGCTGATTAGTTTATGGATCAGTGTGTGTGTGTGTGTCTGTGTGTGTGTGTGTGCTCGCTTTGACATGTGAAGCCTTCAGCAGTCGCTCCGTGTTTGGAACAGCCCTCTGTTGCAGACTTAATCACATTTCTTGTTGCCAGCTGGCCCGGGGCTCTCGGTGTGGTAGTTAACGAGGTAATCAGATCTGCAGATTAATACGGCTGTTTAATAACACCACGCTTTGCTTTTGTGTTCCCCTGCGCTCCATGTAATCAAGAGACTTAAAGCGGAAACTTTCCCTAACAGGTCCTCAGCTAACCTGGAAGGTCAGAGCGTCACCATGGAGGCGAGCCGACGCTCTGCTCACTCTGCTGCTGTTCTACCCACTGCTTAATGAATCCACATGATACACTCTGTAATCTGTTTTTAATTGAAGCTATTTGAGATAACAGTTTCATGGGAACAATCTGTCAATAACACAATAAGGTTGTGTGAAAATCGAACACAAAATATTTGTAGATGAGCTTTTTCTTTAAAATATCACCAGGCTGTAAAGACTTTTATTTCTGTTGTAAAAATTGTCAGTTTAAATTTGGGACCTGATGGGGATCCCTCAGTTTGTGCAGCAAGCATCTAGTGGACGCTTGAGGAAGTGTTGTTTTTTGCACTTCCTCCTTGGCTTCATTTTTTTCGCAACAGAAGTTGCTGCTTGCTTTCAAGCAATGTTTTTTAAATGTTCGGTTTCTGTGGATATTTGGCGCCCTCTGTGGACAAACTATGTAGTACATCATCCCATTTAGAGCCCTTGTCATATGGATGCAGTAACCCTTAAAGGAGACATATTATGAATAATCCACTTTCACAGTGTTTGTGAACATATATTTGGGTAACCTGAGTGTCTACTGACCCACAAAATGTGAAATAAACTCATCCAGTCCTTTGTTTGTGGTCTGCATAAGTCTTACAACACAGAGAAAAATGCTCCGTTTCAAATGTGCTCTCCTTGTGATGTCACAGTGGGATTCTGGTAAAAAAAAAAAAAAAAAAGGGTGGTATCTCCATCCCCAGCCTAGAACAAAACATTTGCACAGGTCCGTCATTTTTAGTCTTGCTACAGAGGAGTGATGTCTACCAGGAAAACTCAGTGGGGGCTCATAGCATTTAAAGAGACACACATACCAAAACGGAGCGTTCTGAGAGAGCTGGTTTATACAGGGTCACAAACCTCCTCTGGTGCTTGATTCATGCTGGCGAAAAAAATAGCTCCAAAACGGTGGTCGTACTTCAAGATTAGTTTTGGTGTTTCTGCACAGTTAAATATAACCTGTTAACGTCTTTAATTTAGCAAATACTTTGCGTCTGTTTGGCTGCCTTCCTGTGGTCATAAAGCTGCAAATAACACAAACATTCACAGTCACAATAACCTGCAACTTGATAGAAGATTACAACTTTCCAACCTGCTAAAGCTAGCTCCTTTGTTGCTCCTGTTGAACCGAACAATAACATTTTACATCCATTTTAATGATACCAATAATCCATCCTGGTTAACATCTCACAGCTACATCCCCCATGTAAGTCACACATTAGGCTTTGTTTGCTTCTGTTCTTGAGTCTTTCCTCCTCTTTAAACCTTCTCCAGTAGTGTCCACATGCTAAACTATATGCATGCAGACATTTTAGACTTTGAACAAAGGTGTGCTCCACGTCTCCAGCAGTCAGTCTGCTTTGATCAGGAGGAAAGAAATCTAGGTTACACAAACATCAGATGGACGTTACTGAACTGTTCTCACTCACTCAACAAACCCAGAGAAGTGACCTCCGCAAGGCAAGCCTTTTTAAGCCTTTTTTTGGGGGGCCTCCATCTGAATCTTAACTCCTACCTTCTCTGTGTGGAGTCACGTATGCAGAGAAGCTACTCTCACCTCTGTAAATCAGAGCTCTGATGATGTAGGTGGTCAGGAACTTTGGTGCTTTGTGGGCTACTGTGAGCACCCACGGTGCCATGGTGGAAAAATACACCAAACATACAGAAGAGTGGACACGGTGGAAGTAGAGACTTTAAATTCTCCCAGTAGTACTGGAGGTTTCATGCACTGACTATAAAGCAACAATATGCAAAACTCCTCTAATAGAATAAAACTTTCAACGGGGAGAACATTGTCTTCCCCATTTCCACAAGTAACAGGTTGAATTTGAAATCCCACTCATATCTGAGCAATTTTAAGACAGTTACATGACACTTATGTTGTTGAAAAGTCAGTGAACTGAACCGTGTAAAGGACGTTTTCAGGTCAATTTAGACCCTGATTTTTGAGTCGTACGACTGATTTTGAAGTCAGCCCAATCGTGTGGAATCAGAAATTTCTATATTTGCTTCATCCGACGGCAAGTCTTTTGCCCAACTGGCTCGCTCTCCGGAGCGTGAACGCAGCCCTGTGCGGCCGTAAACATCGGATCACTGGAGAACTACAAGATCACGCTGGGAATAAAGAGAACTCAGTGCGTGAAGCTGAGCAGAGTGGAGTGTGGCGCTACTGGCACGCTCCAGAAACAGGCCGCAGCACGTGACTAAAGAGAGAGAGAGAGGGAGAAAACGGCGTCATTCACACAGACTATTTTGAAATAGTCACGGCCCAATCAGCTGCTCTGCGCTGGCCGGTTGCAGTTGGAAACTTTGGTCGTACGACTGCACACACTTGCACAGTGAGAGCAGAGTCACAAGCCGTTCCCCTAACTTCAGCACTTTTGTTTTCCTGCTTGTGCCCGCACAAACTGACAGCAGACGTCAAAAATCACTGTGACAACAGCAGGCATGCCTGTTTAATCTGTCTTTCCTAACACATAAATCGGAAGTCGGATATAAATACAGAAGACATAAACCAGGAGGAAATCAGGGTGTCAGTCCAGACTCTTCATGATTTCTGATCTTGAACGTCGGTCTCATGTTGAACCGTTGTTGTTTCCAAATCAGATCAACATGTTGTGAGGACTAAGCTGTCAATTGGCTGAGCAGGGAGAACTTCAGGATGTCGTCTGGTGTCATAGTAACACAGATTAAAATCCCTCAAGTCTGTATGTCACCTCTTCACGTGACCTAAACAAGATAGAGACGGAAATCTTTACATGTATGCAAACACAAGGAGCCATGACGTAAAGGTTCTTATGGATTAATTTGGCCGCTCTTTTAGAACATAAGCTCTGTTCTGGTCTTATTACAGTTTGAAAGCTGCCCTGCGAGTACTAGAAATGGGATATCCAGGAACAGATTTTAACCTGGTCAAGGGCTGAGATCTTAATCAACAGCTCGTTCTTAATTGGCTCTGCTGAAAGCTTGTAAAGGTCAGTGCGGGGTCATTCTGGGAATAAGAGCAGAGGGTGGAAAAAAAAAAAAAAACACTCAGTAAACCTCTTAGAAAGCTAATGAACTGCTCCACAAAGAGGCACATTCTTCAAAGGATGAGGGTTGAAGTCACAGGGCTCACTGACCGGGCAGCGCTACAGGCTGGCACCCTGCCGGCGTATGGAGGACACCTCTCAGAGCCCTTTTAGACCCTCCATCAGGGAGGGAAGGGAAAGCTCTGTGGAGAGAAGATCGATCTGTTCCAGACCTCTGAATCTCTTCCTGCATTCTCAAACTTTTCAGAGCTTCTAAGAGTCTTTTATTCATCATAGATTTGAGTTACACTAAAGAATAGTTTTACAATCTTCAATTATGGTTTATGGAAAACTGAAAATTTTCCTTCCTTACAGATTTTGCAAATCAATATGTAAGTGATGCAATTGACAGGAGTATTCTCTTGTTCAAACAAGCAGCCACCTCTGGAGTTGAAAAATTAAGCCAATGTGGTAGTGCAAAATCCTGCAGTTCCTTGAGTGTCCACTTGAGGCTGGCTCCAAGAGACCTGGAAGTCACATACACACTCCTTGTAAAAAAGTCAGTTTTGACAGGAGAAATTAGCATGTTTACAGCCTGTTACAAACAAACAGTAACCTCCAGTGTTGAAAAATGAAGCCAATGCAGAAGTGCAAAGTCCTGC